CAAAAATTACATCCGATTAAAGTTCCTCCTCCTTTTTTGAGGTCGGTTAATGCAATTATGTCGTCTAAATTTTGAATTATAACGAAGATATTTATTATATTTACTATTTTAATCTATATAGTATAACTTGACGTCCTACTAATATTATGTATGCGAAAGTTTGTTAGGATGTATGGATGTTTGTTACTCTTTCACGCAAAAACTACTGAATGGATTTTAATGAAACTTTACAATAATATAGTTCATACAACAGAATAACACATATGTAGGCTACTTTTTATCCCGGGAATATGTATGGATAGATTTGTTTTGCTTGTTGTTTTTATTTATTTATTGAAACCTTATTTTTATTTATTGAAATTACATACTAGCACTATACTACATTACTGTTAAAAATAATTTTCCATTAATAGTCTGAAAATAACAACTAACTTATCAGTTTGTAGATACACCCACATCCGGCAAAGAACGAGCTTTGTCTACGAACCGCTGTTAACTTCCGGTTTGAATGCGTAGTCTTTTAACGACTTTCCAATTTATTCCAATTTGAGCCTTATAACTAATACATAAATATTAATTTGGCTTGAACATATGTTTCTAGATTTATGCCTTCGCAAATGTACTGTTCACAATACTTTTCTGTTATGTAAAAGTTGCCTTTAATGAGCCATTTGTTATTTTGTTACGATGGAATATGAAATTGAATATTGCTTTGGGGATGTAAAAAAGAAAAATGGGATTTATTTTTTTCTTTCTATATTTAGACAGTTGTTTCTCTGAAGTCTTCACTTCTATTTGACTAAGCTTTTTTTATTTTTAATAGGAAAAGTTTCTAAATTTCTTTTTCTTCGTTGTCTGGGCTTAATTTTCATATAAGCTCCAAGTGCCACACGTTAAATACAAATTGTAAAAAGAATAGGTATGTGTTCATCTGACGATTTCTTCTAAATCATCGTTAAATAATGAACATCACTCAAAAATTTAAACTATGTGCTTATCGTGGGAAAGAATACGTGTATTAATTACACTGTATGATGTATAATCATATTAAATGTATATTTAGAAATATATTATTTTGCCAGTATTTTTACGGAGGAGCAAATATAGTATTAGGAGGTTACTACTACTAACAACTTAAGTTTTTGACAAGATGTTATATTTGAGTTATTATCTTAAAAATATCATCTAAAAAAGCATAAATCAATGTATACGTGCAGTAAATGTCCATAGAGATATACTCGTAACGATCACCGAGGTAGACTTTCTGGCGCTCGGCTAACTGGCGCCGAGGGAGACCAATGACGATTGATTTTGACTTCAGAGGGTGAAGTATCTAAAGTGCATGTACATTAACGAAATAATTTGACAAAATTAAATAATCTATGTTTTAATAATAAACTGCACCTAAAAGGTCAAAGCGAAAACAAATTATTTCCAAAAGTTGGACTGTAAAATAATAATATTAGCCCCGCTGAGTTTCTTTCGCCAGTTCTTTTTAGGTCTAAGGATTTTTCTATACGAACTGGTAGTAGACTCATGACGTTCAGTAAAAAAATGTAATAATTTAATGCTAATTTTGAATGTGAATTTTGATTGTTACCAAACACAAGGACCAATATCTTCCGCATTGTAAAATTTTGCACCCAAAATTATATATGAATCATGAAATATAAATAATTCAAAAACATCTTACTAGATGTCTTCTAGTGCCAATAAGACGACTATCATAAATAAATTGTAACTGCTTACTGGTAAGAGCAAGTAAACGGATGCAGACAACCCGACGCCCGCCAGAGCGGTGCCGAGGGTGCCAAATAGATATACCGAGGGTGGCGAAACGAGAATAAAAGTTTACAACCCTTATGACCCTATTTTGTTCGGTTTATTTTGAATATTCTATTTTTTCAATTTGAAATTACTTCTATAAGTTAAGTTTTATACCTATCTCTTGCGACGTCACAAAAAGCAAATCGACACTTTGAGTAGAGCTTACTTAGGAATATAAAACAATGCGAGCTATTATTCTATTAATAATAACGTTTAATAAATAATGTTTGTGCGTCTGATCATTTAACTAATCGTGGTGCTATTAAATAATCGGTATACTATTATAAATGCGAAAGTTTGTAGGTGTGTGCATGTGTGCTTTCACGCTAAAACGGCAGGCTTGATTTGGATTTAATTTGGTAGGTATGTAGATGAGATTATGTAATCAAAATTTATTTTAAAATATATCTGAAAATAACATTAAAAATTTCAGTAATAGTATAAAAAATATTTAAAAAGGCAAAAAAATCGAAAGTGCATATTACAAGGCTTCCGCAATACCATTCAGACAAAGAGAGACAATAGCATTCCCAAGGAGGGTTGACGTCAGGCAGGCGGCCGGTCGTAAAACTTTTGCCAAATCCTATCAGCGGTACAGAAGATGTACTGCGATGACCCCAAGTGATTGGGAAATGGGCAGGGAGAAGAAGAAGAAGTAGATGAGATTATGGGTCTGGAGTAACACATAAGCTACTTGGCACCTAGGAACGTACGTCGTTAAGTCCTAATACGATATAATATATATTTTGTCCTTGGTTCCTAGATATGCTAGGTCTGGTTGCGGTTAGCCACAGGCACACAGACATTAATAATAATTATTAATTATTGTATTTAGTAAAGTATTACTCAACATCTTCCGATGTACCTAACTATAAACTAGCTAGCAACGATATAAATATAAATTGTATCTTTAAAAAAATGGTATAACCATATATCTTTGGGTTAAGGAAAATTTTCTGCTATCTAAAAATTCACTCAATCACGTCTCACCTGAAAAAACAATGCGTATAATAACAATTGTAATTTATTACGAACTTTGCAAAAACGGGGCTAAAGGCCTATCATTAAAAGCACAGATAAGCTAACTACCAACAAGGGCCATAAAGCAGGATCCTCGAAAGAAAGTCTTATCTTAGAACCCGCAATCTGAGATACGGTAATTCTGGATAATTACTGTTTCTTTATTATATAAATAACTTTCTTTTTTTCGTATAAAATATAATGACTTCACAGAAACTATTTGCTGTACAAAATTATTTCTTTGGCTAGAATAAAAAATCTATACATATAATAAAATTGCAACTAAGCCGAATCTGTACATTACATATTTTATGGAAAATCTTATTGAAATACACTTTATTATCAATACAGAGGCCGAATCTATAGTTTTTAGAATTTTCGTCTGTCTGTCTGTCTGTTACCGCATCACGGGAAAACCACTAGATAGATTTTGATGAAATTTCGTATGATACCTAGCTGGTTATCCGGGTATACATATAAGATACTTTTTATTGCGGAAAAACATCTCATTTCTGAGAAATTTTATACTAAAGCAAACCCGAGCGGAGCGAAGGTGAGTCGCTAGTATTGTAGATATATTTTAATATTCAACGAACATAATTTATGACTTTATTTTTTTCCAATATTATTATGAATTTGAGTGTGTTTGTTACTTTTTCACGCTGTAACGGTTTAACTAATCTGGGTAATATTCTAAAACGAGATAGCTTATATTTACCATTGACCCCTCGCTTTATTTGAATCTGTTACTATATTCATTTTAATTTATAATGAATAGGTAGTGCAATTTTTCTAATATAGGCGTTGCGTGTGCTTTAACCAACTTCAAAAAATAGTGGTTGTAACTGAATTTAAAAAGGTAATGGGTTTTATGTTCGTTTTTATTTGCTATGTAACGTAGACCTGACGTTGCCCTAAATATAAATAATTTCAATGAAATACAGAAAACAATTAAACATGCTTCTTAAACTGTTCATCTATACATATAACAAAATAGTAACTTAGCGAAATATGTACATGAAATATTTTATACAGACAGACTGTTACATAACCTAAAACAATAGTTTTTAATTTTTTGTATGTTTTAGGATACCTTTTATTACAGGAAAATCTTTTATTCCTACGGGAAAACCCAATACTTGGTTCCGTAGATTTGTCCTTAGAAATTTACTTGTCTAATGTTGACTTAACCTTAGGAGATACATCAAAACAATGTACTAAAAAATTAAAGGTCTTAAAAAGGCCAACAGAAAAGTACACTATACCATAATCTCCTAAGGTACACTCGCAATTACTATTTTTATTTATTTAAAATGTACTTAGGGACGTAACCAAGCGAAGTCAGGGCAAGTCTCTAGTAGAGAAATAAAAAACAAATTTCAAACTTGAAAACTAACAAGTTGTGAAGAAAACGAATTGAGTTAACCAATGCAGAACTTGAACGATGAAGAACTCATGTTGAAACACAAATATTAGATCTAGCTGGCATATATATAGCTCACATAATATAATGTGTGGTTGAAAATAAAATATGTAATTTGTACTGATGTATGTAGTTATATGTGTTGTAAATTAAAATTAAAAACTTTATTTACATAAATGGCACAATGCTTTTTCTTATATTTGCCTTAATTTTACGACTTTATGCATATATCTATAAATTAACATTATAAATAGGCAAGAACAATAACAGTTCAGCACCTTCAGACGACACGTTTGGCTCAGTTTGTAGTGACCCTAGTTTCTGTGCCAGCGGTCACGGGTTCGAGTCCCGCCGAGAGCATTCATTTGTATGATGAACACGTTTGTATTCCAATCATGGGTGTTTATATTTATAATATGTATATATATTTAAAGTTATATATGTGTATTGTATAAACTATCTGGTATCCATAACACAAGCCTTGTAGCTTACAATGAAACTAGATAGTGCTGTGTGTTAATGAACCAAGATATTTATATTATATAATTTATATTTTTCTCCTCTGTCAACCGTTTATTTTTGCTTGGCAACTAGTGACGAGCTTTACTATAATCAATAATAAAAATTATTATAGTTAAATTTCGAACACTAACACTAGCTAAGCTTTTATGTTAATTTGTTTCAGATGTAAAGCTCCAAATGCAGGGGACTGCGTGACGGCATCTTCACGATGCAGCAATGTTTATTTACGCTGACACTACTCTGTATAACTGTCAAAGGTAATTAATTGTATTTTGTTAATTTACATATATACAATATACTGGTAGAATTGAATTCACTAATGTAACTGAATAAATTCAATCGAGGAGTAAGTCGTGTTGCTAATAACTAATTTGAACGAAATATATGTAATACAAAACTTCAATGTTCGCTTGTAAAATTCAAAATGTTTTTGTCATTTCTATCCCAGACAAAGTGGCGAGCAGAGTATACTTTATAATAATACTACCGACACACTCTCGCTTCGCTTGGGTTCATACTTAGCTTGCTTCCCAACACAAACTTTCATCCCCATTATCACCCCCTTAAGGGATGATTTCCGGGATAAAAAGTATTCTGTGTCATTTTCAAGATCTCAAACTATCTACTTACTAATTTTCATCTAAATCGGTTAGTAGATCCAGATATCACAACCGCACAAACTTTACCTCGTTATAATATTAAACACACACAAGGTAGTAATATATAATATATATGTCGTGTTATCCATATACTACGAACATCATCTTTGGTGGTTACTCATCTTGTGGGCGTTATCAGGGCTCAAATAATAAAGTATTCAGTGCTCAATACACAATTTAATCGGGGAAGTCACAATGTTATAAACTTGAAACGGTAATTCTAATGATTTAGAGCTAGCGGGTTCACAGTCACCGATCATCGACTTCCAACTACAATATCAAATATAACTGATTCACCATGATATGATAACCAACGTTACTAAGCCACATATCTCCAAAGAATGTCGTGATGGCGTCTCGACCCCGCTCGAGACTAAATCTCTGCTCTAAATTCAAAATAAGCAATAACAATTAAATTAAAGAACATAGTGACTTTAAACAATAATAAGGTTTCATAACAGAAAAAGGTAACTAAATCCTCCTCCGTCTTATATATATATACATTTTATACTTAAATTTATTTCTCATTATTATTTATCAAATGATAGATTACTTTATACTTTATATATACATTTTAAGATTTTACAGCAAGTTACATGTTAGTAATGTATGTATATAATGTACATATATTCTTATTTTTATATGACAATCAAACATGCACATTGCACATAATACCTATATTATAACCATATCTTACTTTTTTTCCAGATATATCAGGTAGCTGGGAAGAATGGTGGACGTACGACGGTATATCAGGTATATGAATATTAATTCTTACAATAATTTTATTGATAAAACATATTAGACCAGAATAAACGTTTAATTTACATTTTATACTAGGAGTTGGAGATACAAAAAAGTCTCTGATAGAAGTATTTTTTTATTTAATAATGTAATTTAACAAGGTATCTACCAACATATGTGTATTCAGCCTTTTCTAACGTCCCAATGCTAAGCACGGGCCTCTCTTCAATACGACAGGGATAAGGCCATAGTCCACCACGCTGGCCAAGTGCTGGTTGGCAGACTTCACATGTCTTCCGAAAACTTCCTAGGTTCTCTCAGACATGCAGGTTTCCTCGCGATGTTTTCCTTCAACGTAAGACCACTGGTAATCATGTCAGAAATAATTCGCACAGGAAAATATCAGAAGTGCGAGACCCGGGATTTGAACGCGCTTCATTCGATTTTCCAAGGGAGCTCGTTGCCACTGGGCTACTACCGCCTCATTTAATGAAACTAAATAAAATATTGATCAATGTATATAGGTATATAAATTCATATAAAACTAACAAGTGTAAAATATAACGTAATAGTATAATTATTCTAGTTACTATATCGTCTATTATATGATTTATTAATTACTAACTTTTAGCGACTTACCCTCGCTTCGCTCTTATTTGTTATTAATTGGTAGTTATGAGAATAGATCGTAAAGTATTTTTCACTCTTCTACTAACTACTTTTTTAAGTAACTAGGGGCGAACCCGAACGGGGCAAGGGTGAGTTGCTAGTTTACATATAAATACAAAATACAGAGGCAGAATATTTTTAGACATCAAATCTCACGCAGAACTCTATAACCTCAATTTTTTACGAAAGTTTTCTACAATCTATACACTATCATCGTCGTAAAAAATTGTTTGTAAAGCTCCTCGAAAACCCGATCTACAACTAGGTAATGACACTGCAATGATACTGATACCATCTTAATGATACGCTCGCCCGTATCATTATATAGAATAGAATACTACGTCAATGTTTCGACCCCACTTTAGTTTCCTTTTTTTTTATAATATAAAAATGAACTCTTTTATTCTTTTACATGGTTTTAATAGCTTTACTTATAATTTGCAATGTAACAAATCCTAGACATCGATTTTAACTGATTTAGTCATTTTAAATAAAACTATCTTTCTGATTTTTTCTCGAATTTGTTTTGGTTTTTAGTTCCCGACATTTCGAATGCTTTACAGGGATCATGGTCATTGGGCAGACTTAGCCAACTGTAGAAAGGAACCAGCCATCTACTAAAGTAACAAATTATAAGTTTTTTAACTATAATATACTTTATAACTAAACCTAAACCTATCATTAAAAAATACATTTCTCTTACTAATTTCTTTACATGTGTCACTTTACATTTGAACAAAACTGCGGCAGTGTTGCTATTTAAAAATATTTTAAAATTATAATAATTTAATCCGTCAATAATAAATAATATGCAATTTCACATAATGACTTAATCAAAATAGTTGAACTTTATTATAACAACCAATACTCATTATGTTGAATGACAAAAATTCGGCTAATGTAATGGTAATGGTTGGCCGGGCGTATCCGATAGTGTTCACCAATGGTCCCCTAACATTACGTTATGAGCACGTTTCCATTCTTTCCCGGCTATTTTGCACAGTTTATACTGTTATTCATCGGCTATTTTGCACAGTTATAATCATTAGTTTGGACTGAACAATGCGAAATCTTAAGTACTAATAAAATAATTGTATTCAGCCCTTTTTAACGTCCCACTGGGCAGTAACGTCTGCTGGGCATGAGCCTCCCTTCGATACGAGGGGATCAGGTCATTGTCTACCACGCTACTCAAGTGCGGGTTTGCGGGCTTCACATGTCTTTCGATAACTTGAGAACCTAGGCTCTCTCAGACATGCAGATTTCCTTACGATATTATCTTTCAAAACAAGTGGTAATAATGTTGGAAATGATTCGCACATAAAAATATCAGATGAGAATTAAAATAATCATGAGAATATATAAAGTTTGAATGGTCGTTTATACAATAATGAGACTTGCATAGGAGCAAAATACGCTATAATGTGTTAGTATAAATAAAAAAATTTAAATAGATTTTTTATAACAACTACACTCATTTTAATTTTGTCATAAAATCTAATAATTTTAATGTCTGTAACAGTGACATGGCTAAAAGTTTAGCCATTTTATAACTATGTTACTACTTCAGGTATTTTATACTAAAGGAAATTCAGATACTCAATTTCGAAACGGATCCGTTAAAAAATTAATATTACAAAACAAAAAATCCATATTCATCCATTCTCAAATAAAATAATGTAAACGTTTAAATATTCTCGTCACAATATAAATAAGTCATAATAAACGCCAGCCTAAAACCCAACCTTTTGGGTGCTATACCTTTGACAGCGGCGGAACAACGTTTTTCTTATGTTCGTTCTTTTTTTTTTAATATTTCCAATAATTATGTTAGACATACAGCAACAGACCCACGACAAGATAAATAATTCAATGTCTATTCAATAATGATGGTAATAAAGAGATTCTACACTTAAAAGTCAACATATCTATTTAAAGTCATGCGATATTAAATGCCGTTCGAAAGCAGCGGTACAATGGAAACGAACGCCGACATTACATTACGCACGACTCAGTGCGCTGTGATGGGCAAATTTTGCGGTATCCCAAACTCCCATTCAATACTATCACTGAGAGTATTCAATAGCCTTTTATATTTGAGTAACGAGAATTTCGACTCGTCATCGCTTAAAACTATCGATATAGTGAGTTACTCGACTATGAAATTTGATACGTATTGTGTGCCATATTGAACGACATTTAACTAGATACCTGATGTTAGATAAAGTAATCGTTTAGATATAGCTAACATTAACATTAAGCCCTAGATATTTTAAGAGATATTGTTAGAACTTAGAACTAGTTAAAATACAGAATTAATGATTTCTATAGTAATTTACATTAATATAAAGAGGTATATTTTGTAAGTTTGAAAGTTTAAATTAAGGGAATTGAAACTACTGATGCGATTCTCAAAATTCTTTCATTAATAGAAAGCTACATTACCGTCGAGTGCTATAGGTTATTTTTTTATTTCAATAAAAATATGTTTGTTTACTGTCAAAAATCATAATAACTTTAATTAAAGTCCGAAAAAATGGCCGTTGAGTTGCTTACCTAATCGGCGTGTGTTACCTAATCTATACTAATATTATAAAGAGGTAAAGTTTGTGATGTTGTAGGGGGGTCGGTATCTCTGGATCTACTGACCGATTATGAAGAAATTTGGTAACTTGGTGCTTTTCATCCCGAAAATCATCCCTTAAAGGGGTGAAAATGAGGATGAAAGTTTGTATGGGGAAACAATCTAGGGATGAACCCGAGCGAAGTGAGGGTGGGTCACTAGTGCTTTGAAATGAAGCTATGAAATGTGTAAAAAAGTTAATAGGGACGTACCTTAGCGAAATTGCGGTAAGTCACTAGTATTTTGTTTAAATATGTAAGCTTATGAGTAAGTAAGCGTGTTAGTTGGTTACTTCTTCACGCTGTAGGAGATGAACGGGTTTGAGTTAAATTTGAAAAAAAGAAAATATATATCCTGGTGTAATATAGACTATTTCTATCGACCTAACCTACCAAGAACGAATGAAGTCAGTTACATAAAGAAGAGATACTTTGCCAATTCTAAAGGGATTTAAATAATTCTTTTGACCATATGTATATACCACAAGGGTGAAAAAAACACCCTCTAAGATTGAAATGATTACTTATAATTGTTTATACACTATTTAAATTTTACATTTCTAACGACTTTCTATACTAGAGTGCCTAATGAATTATTAACAGAGTGATAGCGCCAGTGTATCATCAAGTGTCATGTTAATACCATACTAATGATTGTCTGGTAAGATTTTATCACAATCATTACTCAGTCGTTGACTAACGACCTCACTTCACACACCATTTGTTATTATCTATATCATTATACTAATGTATCGGTTATATATTTACAATGTAATATACTGCGGTTTCGTCTGCAAGAGATCTTATTTAAAACTAGACACTTATTCTTGCCTCGTTCGATATCTCTAGATGCTTAACATAATATTCTATTTGTTTAGTTAATTTCACCTAAATCCGTCCAGACCCCTAAGACTAAAGGAGTAACAAATATATACACACTCATACACATAAAGTTTTATATTTATAATAGTTGTACGTTTAGCATGGAATATTTTTAAATGATTTTTATCCGTCTGCTTATGTTTTAAAGACACTGATAGAAATATCCTAAATTTCAAATCAGGAATAAACCCGATTTCAAACATTGAACGATGCGTGTTCAAACAAAACTGACATTTTCGTGCGATTAAGTAAAGAACATAATATGCCCCAATGGTACCCACCCCGTTGCATGGAAAATCAAAGGAAGCGGGTTCAAATCTCGGGTATCGCGCCTCGGAAATTTTCATGTACGAATTATGAATCATTTCCAACGTGATTACGTATTGAAAGAGTTTTTGCGAGGAAACCTGCATGTTTTCGAAAGATACTGTTACATATGTAAAGTCCGCCAGCCAGCACCATAGCCAGCGTGATTTCCCGCGTATTAAAAAGAGTCCGTGCTCAGCAATGGGATGTTAAAAGGGTTGAATACATACTCCTACCAATACCACCCACCAATATCCAATCTTTAAGTAAGGAAATCTGCTCTACAGGTCCAGGTTTTTGGGGTCTAATCAACCCACAATGGAGCATGTGCAACAAAGGTCGCCGACAGAGCCCGGTCAACATCGAGCCAGACAAACTTCTGTTTGACCCGTGGCTGCGAGACATACAATTTGACAAACATAAGGTAAATTACAATAATCCCAATAATTTTTTTTCGTGTTCGATGGCTTGCTCTTACAGCGGTCGTTAGACCTCGATATCTAGGGTTCATAAAGTAAAGTCTTATTGAAATAAAAGTATTAAACATAAATAAATATACATATAATTTAAATAATATAATTAAGTTATAATTATATTTGCATATTATATTTGACATTATGTATACAATTATTTTTTTAATATAGTTATAATTATGAAGAGTTTTAAATGTAAAAAAAACACAAAAACAAAAAAAATACTAACAGATAGCTACTTTTCGGCCAATTAATAAAAAAATAACCTGTATGAGTTTTTATATAAATAATATATTATTATTTAAAACAATAACTAAGCATACGTAAATTCTAAAACATTGACTAAAACAAATAAATTTAACAGTATATTGTTTTTGTTCGCGGTGTGCAGAATGAGTAACGAATTAACATTGCAACTGCCGTTATAATCCCGCCGTAGCGTTGTAAGCTGCGATAGTCTACGCTTTATGTGACAACTTTGCATACATAAATGCACTTTATTATGATAACGAAACCGTTATCGTAACAATTGATGTTAAAAGTGTTTAAAGCAATTTTACTTCTAATTTAATAACTGATTTTACACCTCTACTAGTGGATGTACACGAGCCTAAATATATGCATGCCCATGGATAATAAATATGTATATAGTATGTAAAGATAGTATACGAGAGTATACTCCTTTAATTTTATATTTTATTTTATGATCTAAGTGGGTTAGATTGTATTTTTAGTATTTTAGTTTAGTTGTCGTTTATGACAGATTGCAACAAGGCCTGTTAAGCCGAGGTGATTTTTATTAATCACTAGCGACTCTCTGCTCGGGTCCATCCCTACTTACGTTTTGCAGTTTAGTATAGATTTCTCAGAGATGAGATATTTTCCCGCAGTAAAAAGTATCCTATATGTTGACCCGGATAACCAGCTATCATCATACACAATTTTATCAAAATCCCTCCAGTGGTTTTCCCGTGATGAGGTAACAGACAGACAGACAATGTCTATTTCAATAAGATTTTCCAAAAAATATACAATGTACAGATTCGGCTTAGTTATGATATTATTATATGTATTGATAAAGATTTTTATATATATATATATATATATATATATATATATATATATATATATATATATATATATATATATATATATATATATATATATATTCCATATCGTTCCCAAGGGCGGCGGGCAGAATTATTGCCAGAGGAGTGCATCTCCTTCTTCTAATTAAACTACTAACTAATCTTTAAACGATTAACTTTATAAAAAAATTTCATTTCTTATTTTGCATCTTTTTTTCGTATATATCTACATTTATACAGATTTTACTAATTTATCTTTATTTCTTCAACTTTTTCTATATATTTTCCTTCATGGCAGGGGGGTGTAAGTGCACACCCCTCCCGGCGCTCATGATGGTTGTTATACTAAAAATCGTACTATATTTTATTCTAATCGACATTTCTCATCAAAGCATATTTTCAAATATTATATATATTTCAAATATTAGTACAGTACATAAAGAAAACTGACATACACCACCAGAAGTACATATAGTAAATAGCTACATTTATATACAAGTTACATAGAATTTAGTAATGCGATAAACAAATGTAAAGCCACAACACTAACGGAGTAGCAAAAAGTAACCGGACGTAGATAGCCTATCGCGGAATATATTACGTAGCGTTCAGGCTAAATGAATTTACATGGTCATAATATTCATATTATGAACTTTAGATTTAAAACTAAGAGTTTAGAATATAATTTAATATTTACGTTAAACTCAAATTTATGTCCTTTCTTGTTTTAATGAGATTTTAATGAAATAGGGCTGTAACATTTTGGGTATTCTGTTTATATTAGAGTTGAATCAATTAAGATTATTATCGATTTTGTTTATTTTTTACTGATTTTAAATAAGATCATGTGTTTTTGTAATGTTTTTTTTGGATGTTGGTCAATTTTCCTGATTATTTTTTTAATTAATGGGTTCAAGAATTTTTCCATATAGCAATATTAAAAAAGTAATGAATATTTCTAATATCTTCTATTTTATTTTAATAATTATAAATGTAATGCATGAAATTTTATGCACTAGTAAAATTAATCTTTATGTTTTATTATGAAACTTCGTTACGTAGTTTTCCGTTAAGCCAACGGGAAGTTCTAATAAAAGTAAACAACTATTGAAGGAAGTAATTTTACGATTTAGTAATATCTCTACTATCTAGTTAGACTAATGTAGTATCTGTTATCAACAATGTGAAACATAAACAGTTTCAGAGTTACACAAGGGCACCGCGCCTATTCTAACAACACGCATATAAAAGTCATAGAAATGGCAAATCATTACATTACCATATATTATTTTTCAATATTACGTCACATAATCATTCACTCACAAACTGAATTTACAGCAACAATTTCATTTTCATTCTACGTAGAGAGTTAAAAAGTCTAAAACTGAAGGCAAGGTTTTAGATTAGAAGTCAAGCTTGCGCAACATTAAGTGATTTTAAAACTTTTAATTCCTTTTTATATTACTTTCTTAGATTTACGCGTATATTTGACATATAAAAATACTATGCTTTTGGACTTTTTCGCGGATTTAATTCGATTTTTAAGACCATCCTAATGGTCTCTTCCGTGGCCAAGTTTGCTGTAAAAAGCATCCGAAAGGTCGAATCCGAAAAGTATTATTTAATCTATACTAATGTTATAAAGAGGTAAAGTTTGTGAGATTGTGACATTGTAGGGGGTAATCTCTGGATCTACTGAACCGATTTAGATGAAATTTGGTAAAAAGATAATTTGAGACCCTGAGAAGGACGTAGAATACTTTTTATCCGGAAATCATCCCTTAAGTGGGTGAAAATTAGGATGAAAGTTTGCATGGAGAATCAAGCTAGGGACGAACCCGAGTGAAACGAGGGTAAGTCGCTAGTTACTTATATTTTCATAAAAATATTTTTGTAAGATTTGATTTTATAGACGACATAATACTCAATTCCTCATATATTTCCTAATTTTATAAGACGTTATGTAAATTTCTATTACGGTTTTCATGTAAACATTACTCCCTCGTCACTTCTAGCCAATAATACTTCACGAAACCCACGCGTCGCGTGTTATCAGGCAATATGTCATCTCGTTCAAAGCGCAAAAGTTGCCAGGTTTTAATCAAGGCGTGCCCATTGATTGATAGGATCTCCCAGCGAGGGGTGGCAATCTCGATACAAATTCAATTTTATTATGGATAGAAATTATAGATTGTACCGACTTAAAATACATTTTGAATTCATGCCAACCACTTTTGACCAACTTCAAAAAAGAAGGATGTACTCAATTCGTGTGTGAGTGGTTTTTTGTATGTATGTTTTGGATTATCTTCATCTTGTTATGCTTTTTTAATTAATAGTTTATGCCTCAAGAGTAGTACATATATACATTATATTTAAAAAAAAAATATTCCCAGCCCAACGGTGGGATAATTACTTTTAAAGTGACCTACTTTAAAATCCTAGAGTCGCCACTAAAAATATTTGCAGAAGTTGAAGTGGTCCTATGGCTAAGTAAATAAGTGCAAGTACTGGCACTCTATCATCAACTAAATGTGAACAGAAATTCAATTATTAGTAGTCCAATGAATAGATATAGTTTAAATAGAATAAAAAAATGTTTTTATGCAACTGTAACTCTGTACTCGAAAGTTTTTACTAGTGACCAACCATTAAAGAGTTTCACTTTCCACCTTCCATCATCAGATCATTTACATATATGTATATCTAGTATCAAGTTATTCTATTGTCATTTGGAGTTCAAATATTTAAAAAAATTCAAATCCATAAACAGCATCAAAAAAGTGCGTTAATTTACTAGTCTATACAGAATAATAAAATTGAAATATCTGCTTGGTTTTTGTCTGTCTGTGTGTCTGTCTGTTTATTCCATTTAATCTCCGAAACGGCTGACTGATTTTGACGGGACTTTCACTAGCAGATAGCTGATGTTATAAGGAAAAACTTAGGTTACTTTTATTTTAGTAAAGAAGAAAATAAAATAATAAATTACATTTTTATAAATCTCTACAAACAGGTCAGTGGGGTTCTCCAGAACACTGGTCAGTCACTAGTCTTCCGTGTAGAAAAGGACAGCAAGCACCAAGTCAACATCAGTGGCGGTCCGCTCTCTTATAGATACCAGTTTGAAGAAATATACTTTCACTACGGATTAGATGACAATAGAGGATCTGAACATCAAATTGACCATCATACGTTTCCTGGCGAAGTAAGTATTTTTGTACCATTTATCTTTGGTATTCATTGTGCAATTATAATAATTTTTACATAATAATTTCTTAGATTTACGCGAATATTTGACATTTTAAATAAAACTATCTTTTTGGGAGAGACTCCCGTGACCATGATTGCTATAAAGCATTCGAAACGTCGGGAACCAAACATCCAAATAAATCCGCGAAAAAATCCGAAAGATACTTAGATAATTCTATTTCAACTTGGACGAGAACGAAACAATAGAACCTATTTATTCAATTAATCAATTAAAGATTAGTAAAGATTAATGTTCCAACCTGCATTTGGCCAGCGTGGTGGGCTATAGTCTGATCCCCCTCGTACTGAAGGGAGGCCCACGCCCAGCAGTGGGACGTCAAAAAGGGCTGAATACTAAAGATTAATGCTATTTCCTTTTTCACAATAATAAATTCAGAAAAAGCTAAAACAAATCCCATAATCGGTTTTGTCGCAAATTAACACCTCAAAGTCGCTATCATTATCAAGCCGTTATTGGTCCCGTGGGGAAAACTTGAGAAATACGAGTAACTCTATACAAACAAAGTTGTTTTACAATTGCTCTTGAGTAATCTAATTTTAGATACGTTTAAGTTACATTGTTATAATGTATAATAATGTTAGTAAATTATTTAGAAAATAACATAAAGTAAGTAAACATAAGTGGAGATTCAAAGTAAATATCTATACATAACAAGCGAATAGAAAATATTGAATAAAATAATAAACTACGTCATTTATTATTATTATCTATATATAGTTTTTTTTTATATATGATAACTATATTAGTATAAACTATTTATTGTTGCTATCTCTTTTTCTTTAATCGCTTTAAATACTAAACGCTTTCTCTTTCACGTTTAAATTATATCTATCTATCAAGCCGCTTAAAGGCGCTTAAAATGCTCAGAAATCAATAGCGATACATATAGACATTAATACATGTATACAAAAATATTTCTCTCCTAAGAAATTTGGATAAAAGTTTCATAAACAATAAAATATGAGCACCAATATTTTATATAATCATAACAAAAGTATTTAATTAAAGCATTTTTTTTGCGTTATTATTTAGTTTTTTCCGACGTTTCGCTGTCTCACTCGTATTAATCGAACCGTTAATTTGCTATAGTATGCTCTGTCAGGAGTTTTTTTTTCGAATGCAGGATGAATTTTACAATATTTACCATACGTAGTTTGCACATATATATACATACTAGCGACTCACCCTCGCTCCGCTCGGGTTCGTCCCTGGGGTGGGGTCTGGGAGGACCACCCTTATCCTTATCACTTAGGGGTATGGAAAATAGATAGTAGCCGATTGTCAGACCTACTGAATACGCATATAAAATTTGGTAAAAATCGGTAAAGCCGTTTCGGAGGAGTACGGTAACAAACATTGTGACATGGAAATTTTATATATAAGATAATAAAATTGTAACTAAGTCGAATCTGTACATTAAATATTTTTTGGAAAATCTTATTGAAATACACATTATTATCGATACAGAGTCCGAATCTATACTTTTTAGAATTTTTGTCTGTCTGTCTGTTACCGCATCACGAGAAAACCACTGGACAGATTTTAATAAAATTTGGTATGATGATAGCTGGTTATCCGCGTCAACATATAAGATACTTTTTACCGCGGGAAAATATCTTATTTCTGAGAAAAATACAAAAACTGCAATGTAAGAGTATACTAATATGTAAAACCTAAGAATTTGGTTTTTGGTCATCTGAACCTTGTAGAGCCGCGGGCAATGCTAGTTCATAAAATAAAACAGTTTAACTATTTGCAAATCAACGACATCTATTATCTATAAAAGCAAACAAAAATAGCCCGAAGAAGAGCCCAAATTAGCGCTGTCCAATTTCTTTGTATGAGATGAGGGCACCTGTACTAGTATAGTATTATGTGATCTGTACTAAATTATTAAAATTTCCTATACAGATTCAATTATACGGTTTCAACAAAGAACTGTACCATAACATGTCTGAAGCACAACATAAATCACAAGGCGTCGTGGGCATCTCACTAATGGTCCAAGTAAGTTACTGTATTTAGCTTTCTGCTTGGTTTTATTGCAAATTTATACTTAATCATAGTTATTCGTTATTAATTTATAACTAGCGATTCGTTTTAGCTTTGCCCTTTGCTACATTTTTAACTGACTTCAAAAAAAGAGGTACTCAATTCGCCTGTATTTTTATGTGTATGCTACGAGATATCCTCAATAATTTAAAAATCAAAATTTATATTTTTTTAATAGATTAAAAAAGGTCAAATATAAATCTTTACTATAAAATCACAACTAAGAGTGGCATTACAATAGTTTTAAGAGATTTGAAATTCGGTGTATATTTATTAGTATAAAATATATTTAAAATTATAACAATAATACATTTTCTATATAAATAGTCTTTAATACAAAAAGTTTTTTTAATGTGCATAGTTTATATTGTGTTAATATTGCCTTATCTTCTTAGATTGGAGAGCCAACAAACAAAGACTTAAGACTCATTACGAGCGCCTTCAACAAAGTTATGTACCGAGGTAATAATAATATTGAATTACGAATTATATTACTAATACATTAATTGATACAAAAATTATAGGTTGATTAATGTTCATTATTGTCTAATCATGCTCATCTAGCTGAAAGGATTTGAATAAATTTTCAACTTAATGTCCTGAAATAATTATGCTAATTATTCTAAAAAGTTTATTATCAATTTTGCTGTAGGTATATTGTACAATATATATATATATATATATATATATATATATATATATATATATATACGTAAATAGGTACTCAATTTTCTAGGATCAATATCAAAATATCAAATAAATATCAAATTTTCATCCAAATCGTAAATAATCAACGAATATATTAGACGAATAATTACTATAACGTTTTGCCTAATTTTTATGTCTATAAATAAAATTCAAACACGATTTTTATCCTGAATTTTTTTTTCACAGGCAGTTCCTATCCCATAAAGCATCTACCCCTAAGCTCTTTGTTGCCCAACACTCAGCAGTACTTGACATACGAAGGCTCCACCACCCACCCAGGCTGTTGGGAAACAGCCGTCTGGATTATATTCAATAAGCCCATCTATATATCAAAACAAGAGGTTTGTATTGTAAATATATAGATCCTTTTTATAATTTAAAAGGTCAAGGTTTGCACAACAATTTTAACTTTAATAAACACTTTGAAATGTTTATATTTTCTATTACCCTTGAACTTTAGAGAGTAGAATAATATTTATTATAATAAATGTAAATTAAATCGATTATTAATTTAACGTAGATGTACGCGATACGTCGTTTGATGCAAGGTTCGCAGTTAACGCCAAAAGCGCCCCTCGGGAACAACGCCCGTCCCGTACAACCTCTTCACCACCGCACTGTGCGAACTAACATCAACTTTAACAAACAAGGGTTACCGGTTAGTATATATAATTTATTTCTTACTATGTTGTTTACGCGGCTTCGTCTACGTGAAATAAAAATTAATTAGGTATATTTCTTGGGTGGGCTACACCATCGCAATGAACACCATGCAATGAATGGTTTGAAAAGGTAAAATAACATTAGAATATTACTGGACTAGAATAACGTATTGAAATGAAAATTAACTGTAACGACGCAGTTGCGTCTTAATACACTTCGAATGATAATGAATTTATCATAATGCATACCTATTGATAACAATAATTTTTTTATATTGGAAAAGCTATATAACATTTTATTTATTTATTTATTTTAAGGAAACAAACAGTACAATATTACATAAATAATAAATATATATATATATATATATATATATATATATATATATATATATATATATTATAATATTTAAAATAAGAAAAAGTCATTAAAACAATTCCAAAAGATCTTTGTGCTGTTTTGATTTCTAATATATCCTCAGCATTCTTCTTAAACTATGTAATATAGACCACATTTCTTTAATATTATATTTTATAATATAATATTAAAGAAATGTGGTCTCATTGTATGTCTTTGTTACAATAACATGTAAGAAATAACAATATGTTATGTAGATTTTTATTTTTATTTCAGAAAACCGATATATTAGACATGTTTTAACATTTTATTATTCAAAGGTTACTTACCCAGTAAAATTTCTTTTCAAATAATATCTATATTATACCTCGAAATTATTTGAATTTTTGCTATTTCTATATTGTACAAATAACATGAAGTAAGATATGATATTTGAAAATAATAAAATAATAACAAGTTGATATCCATACTAATATTATAAATGTGAAAGTGTTGGTTTGTTTGTCCTTTTTTTACGTCAAAACGGAGTGACGGATTGGCATGATTTTTTGAGTGGAGATAGTTGGTGAGCTGGAGAGTGACTTAGGCTATTTTTACCGCGGGAGACGATCTTTTTCCCATGGAAAAACACGTTGTGATACAATCCAAAAAATATTTATGATTAGAATTAATTGAAAGTGGTTAATTTGAAAAATTGGAAAGGTGATAGCTGGTTATCCGGGTCAACATATAGGATACTTTTTACCGCGGGAAAATATCTAATTTTGGAGAAAAAATACAAAAACTGTAATGTAAGAGTAAACTATTATGTAAAACCTAAGAATTTATTTTTTGGTCATATAAACGCGGGTGGAGCCGTGGGCAATGCTAGTTCTCATACATTTACTTACATAAATGTTAAAAAATAAAAACTACATAGTTACATATTATTACTACATATATCTTTAAAACTTCACAAACTTTCATTGCAAAGTTTCTTACATTTAATCCATTCAAGCCGTATCAAGTTTGTATTGCCTCCACACTACACGGCTTCGTTGTTTATAAGATTGATGGACCATAAAAACTTCTTGCCTTATCAGTTGAATAGAACGAGAATCTAAGCTTTGTGTTTATTCGAGCTTATTTACACCTCCAATGGTTGATAACAACGCGGTTTTGAAATTATATGGAGTTCAGAAAGCTATCGCAGTCAATAAATTTACTAAATTAAGTATGTATAGGTATAGTTAAAATCTACGCATACGGTTTATAATATAAAATACAAGTTAAATTGTTTGTTATATATGTTCAAATATTTTTTATTATGTTGTTAGAATATACAAAGCAGATGTATAAATTTGAAGGAAATGATAATATTAATATATTTTTCCTGTATATACTAAAGTTCTTGTATTATTTTCAGCTGAACACTTTCATTTACCGATAGGGTGAAAGTGTGGTATGTACAACCTATGTATGTCGTAGATACCGCGAGTACCTTTTAACTTCTACGTGATAAAAAGTTACGTCAAAATGTCATACTCACTCGAATTCTCAATTAACCAGTAAAAGTCCCGGTGAAATCAATTACCACGATGACAAAAAATTTAAATCAATGGAAAATTATTTCATTAAAAGCTTATCTTTTAGTCATTACGTTCAAACTTATTATAAACACATTTACATGTTAAATTAAAAATTTCACTTACTTTTAATACATAAACTACAATAGTTTCCTATTTATATTAGAAAACTAGCATTGTCCGCGACTCCGCCCGCGTTCAGATGACCAAAAACCAAATTCTTAGGTTTTACATATTTATTATACTCTAACATTGAAGTTTTTGTATTTTTTTCTTAGAAATGATTTTTCTTTTTCCTTTGAAAAAAAAAATGGGACTCCAAAAGTTCTAGAATAATAGTTATTAAATACAAGTTAAGACTCGCTGGTGAAATGGACTTTAAAATAGCAATACTAGTGAATCTTATTAAATTTTAGTGCTTCATTATCAATGCATGGCATGCTTTTATGTTAAAACAGATATTATGGTATGTTTTATTTTTTTTTCTTTCTTTAACTTGAATGCTACATGTTACTTTGGTTTTCACTTTTCTTAAATCTATTATAACTAATATAAAACTAAACTACTTGATATTCTTTAAAGTTAAGTATATAAAATAAAGTAAAGTAATACAAATATGATTGAAAACAGTACATTAACTTAATACTTATTGTTTTGCAAACTATAATATGATATATTTCATTTCAAATACATATATTTTTTTATTGTTGTGACACTAAAGTTTATAAAAGTAATAACCTTTATTAATAACCTTTTATAAATTAAAAACCTATTATTTTTAGTGTAACTAAAACCATTATCATTAGAAATATTAAAAAGGAAAATCCTTGTAAGTAGAATATAATATATATATTTTTTTGTTATTTTTTTTTTGGTGAGATTTTATTAATCTTTTAAATTTAAGTTTAAAATAACATAATGAGTACTGAGGAATGTAAAGCTGCACCACCCACCCCTTCAGAGATTTGTAAAGTTTCTGTTAAGCTTCCACCCTTCTGGCCGCATCGTCCCGCTGTATGGTTCGCTCAGGTAGAGGCTAATTTTGATATTGCAGGTATTACAGCTGATTATACAAAATACAATTATGTTGTTGGACAGCTGTCTCAAGAGCAAGCTGGTGATGTAGAAGATATAATTACAAATCCACCTAAAGAAGATAGATATAATTTTTTAAAAATGAATTAATAAGAAGACTTTCACAATCTGAAGAAAATAGACTTAGCCAGTTATTAGGAAATGAAGAATTGGGCGAGCGAAAACCAAGCCAATTTTTAAGGCATCTAAGATCATTGGCTGGGATTAATATCAAAGATGATGGCATTATAAAACAATTGTGGATAAGGCGACTACCACATCAAGTCCAAGCAATTTTAGCTGCACAAGCTGACCTTACCTTGGATAAACTTGCCGATCTTGCTGATAGAATCGTGGACATAACATTGGTTCAACACACACCGTCAGTGGTAGCAACAACTGTTACTGCAGCACCTATTAACCCTGACTTTGAATCATTAAATAAACGCATGGAAGAACTTACTCAGCAAGTTGCTGCATTGACTGCTGCAGCAAAATTTAGAATGAGGTCACGCTCAAGGAGCATGCACAGACATACACAACGTCCACAAAGCCCCAGTTTTGGAAAATTATGTTACTATCACAGGAAATTCCAGGCTAATGCAAAAAAATGCATAACACCTTGCACTTGGAAGTCGGGAAACAACCAGGGCAGCCAGTAATGGCGACAACCGACTGCCACTCCCTATCTAGTCGCCTCTTCATCCAGGATAGGAACACCAAGCGCCGATTCCTAGTGGACACTGGCTCGGACTTGTGCTGTTTTCCACATAAGTTTGTCATAGGGCAACCTAAATCTTTGCAATACAATCTTCGAGCAGCAAATGGCTCTGTTATTCCGACTTATGGACTGATTCCTATGACATTAGACCTTGGCTTGCGAAGAGATTTCAGATGGAACTTTGTTATTTGTGATGTAAGCTTACCAATCATAGGAGCAGATTTTCTAGCCCACTATAACTTACTGCCAGACTGCAATAAAAAGCTGTTACGTGATGGACATACTGGTCTCACTTCTTCGGGAGAAATATTGACCAATGCCCAATCAAGTATAAAATTAGTGAGTAATGATGAAAAGTGTCCGTTTTCTAAAATTATTTCAGAATTTCCTGAAATTATCAAACCACCTGGGCTACAAACAGAAATCAAACATAATACAGTTCATTATATAAAAACCACAGATGGTCCACCTGTATCATCCAAACCAAGACGCCTAGCACCACAAAAACTTCGTGCAGCTCAGAAAGTGTTCGCAGAAATGATGCAAGCTGGGATAACCCGACCATCAAAAAGTGCTTGGTCGTCCCCACTCCACATGGCACCAAAGAAAGATGCATCCTGGAGACCTTGTGGTGATTACAGGGCATTGAATGCACGCACTGTTCCAGATCGGTATCCTGTAAGGCACATTGCCGATTTTTCGTACAATTTAGCAGGTTCAACAGTTTTTAGTACAGTAGATCTCGTCAAGGCCTACCAGCAAATCCCAGTCCATCCTGACGACATCTGCAAGACTGCGATAACAACACCCTTCGGTCTTTATGAATTTCCGTTTATGAGCTTTGGATTACGAAACGCAGGTCAGACGTTCCAGAGATTTATAGACGAGGTAACTCATGGACTGGACTTTGTTTTTCCTTACGTTGACGACATTTTAGTTTTCTCTAAGGACAAAGAACAACACGCACAACATTTACGCATACTATTTAAGCGTCTCGCTACATACGGGGTGGTTATAAACTTAGAAAAATGTGTTTGGGCCGCAAACGAAGTCACATTCCTAGGATATCGGATTTCATCAGCCGGAACTATTCCACCACCTGAAAGAATTGAAGCCCTCAGAAATTTTCCTTTGCCTAAAACAGCACAGGGGCTCAGAAGATTTATGGGAATGATAAATTTCTATAGACAATTTTTACCTAACGCGGCAGAAGTGCAAGCACCACTTGTAGATATATTAGCTAAAACTAACTTAAAAGGAGCTAAACCAGTACCGTGGACTCCCGAATTAGAAGAAGCATTCGACAAATGCAAAGCAAGCCTATCACAAGTTACTCTTCTTGTTCATCCAGTACCAAACGCCCATTTGGGACTTTTCACAGATGCATCCAGCATCCATGTTGGAGCTTGCTTGCAACAAAAGGTCGACAACAACTGGCAACCGCTAGCTTTCTTCACAAAAAAACTTTCTGCTCGCCAAACCACTTGGCCAGCTTACTACAGAGAATTATTAGCAATATATGAAGCAGTACAACATTTTCGACATATTTTGGAAGCACAACATGTCACGATTTTTACAGATCACAAGCCTCTTGTGCACGCCTTTTCACAGCGTCGTGAGAAACTACCACCGTCACAGCTGAATCAACTCTCATTTATTTCAGAATTCACTACAGACATAGTATATATCCAAGGGACAGAAAACATAGTAGCAGATACAATGTCACGAATTGAAGTTATTAATATTAATGAAGATTTTAATGAGTTAGCGAAAAGTCAAGTGTCTGATAATGAACTGCAAAAATTGCTTCAGGACAACACAACATCCTTAAAATTAGAAAAAGTCATAATACCAGGAACTGCAATAACCTTGATATGTGATACATCAACAGGAAAACCTAGACCATTTATTACATCAAATTTAAGACGTCAATATTTTAACCAGCTTCACAATTTGAGCCACCCCGGATCACGATCGACAACTCGTTTAATATCTGATCGATTCGTTTGGCCTGGCATAAGTAAGGATTGTCACGCGTGGACCCGCGCGTGCCTTGCATGTCAACGCAGTAAAATAACCAGACATACTGTAACACCTTTAGGAAATATTAATATCCCACCTCACCGTTTTAGTCACATACATATTGATATAATTGGACCTCTTCCATTTAACAAAGAGTTTAGATATTGTCTAACAGCAGTGGATAGATTCACCCGCTGGCCTGAAGCATGGCCTATGAAATCTATAACAGCACAAGATGTAGCAGAAACGTTGACAGCAGGTTGGATATCTCGATTCGGGATACCGTCAACCATCACCACGGACCGAGGACGCCAATTTGAATCAGACCTTTTTCACCGCTTAATGAATTTAATTTCGACGCGACGCATAAGGACTACTAGCTACCATCCATGTTCAAACGGTATGGTTGAACGTATGCATCGACAATTAAAGACTGCCTTGATGTGTCATGGTGAGTCATGGCTCAGGGCACTGCCTTTAGTTCTACTTGGCATGCGTAGCGCAGTAAAGGAAGACTTAAAAACATCAGCCGCAGAGCTGGTCTACGGTGAACCCTTGCGTCTGCCTGGAGAACTAGTAGTGGCCCCAAAATCAAATCCAAACGTAGAAGACACAAACGACTTTGTTACACGTTTAAGATTGGATATGTCGAAGTTGCGACCTAAAGCAGCATCCCGACATCTGGGGAGGTCAAACACGTCTACATTTATATTTAAAGAGCTCACAACTGCATCACACGTCTTCGTTCGCGATGATTCTGTCAGAAGTTCTCTTAGTCCGCCGTATATTGGTCCGTTTCCAGTTATTCGACGTAAAGACAAGACGATAACAATAAATAAAAAAGGAAAGGAAGTAGTAGTCAGCCTCGATAGAGTGAAGCCTGCTTACCTCGAAAATTCAGAACCTTCCAGCCCAATCTCACAAAGAACAACTCAAATCGGAACTGCTCCAACATCATCTCAGTCAACGACGAGCACATCAAATCAAGCGCTACCTGAGCTAAAATCTCCTATGGTTACTAGATCCGGTCGTAGGGTACGATTTAAACAAATTTTGGATTTGTAATAAAAAATTTTTTTTCTTCCATTTCCTTGTTCATTAGTTTATAATTTGTGAGACACATTCTCTTTAAATGTTCTTTTGCCTGCGGTTACTTTCTCCGTGGGGGGGTGGTGTAGCGTATAATTATTATTAATATACAATATTAACATAATAATAATTTATGTAATATAAAATAATTTAGATTTCATAAGTTTTCGAACGTCACTCACTTAATTTATATGGTTTTATAATCTGTGTAAATCTGTACCGTTTCCGCCATCATGGCAACACAGACGCTCTCCTGGCCGTCGCTAAGACGATTGCTTAAAATTATATATCTCAGGTTAACTAACAACCATCCATATCTATACAATAAACTAGTGTTCCCAACAGTTACAACATTCAGTTTTTTATTTGTCTCCAATCGCGACAGATATTTTGCCGCGGCCAACAAAAAATATGTTGACCCGGATAACCAGCTATCGCCATACCAAATTTCATTAAAATCCCTCCAGTGGTTTTTCTGTGATGCGGTAACAGACAGATAAAAATTCTAAAAACTATAGATTCGGCCTCTATATCGATAGTAATGTATACTATTTCAATAAGATTTTCCAAAAAATATTTAATGTACAGATTCGGCTTGGTTACAATTTTATTATATGTATAGATTACTATACATGGTCAGATATAAAATTAAGCGAAACACATGAAATTAATATATTTATAAGGAATAAGTAGAAACATTATTCAGACAACCTAAAGGTTATTAATATCGTATACATATATTTAATAATTACTTATTCACTAATATTTTAAATTATGGCAATTCCATAAGACATAATCTTTAAAACAAAACGCCTTACTTTAAAAAAATATCACGTAACACCAAATACACCAAAAAATATACATTCCAAATATCTTTGTTTTTGACATCGGTTAGAAGTCATATCTAAGCAATATATGCGCTTCTCTGAAAATGGCCATTTAAATATAATATTCTCTTTAGAAATCACAATAAAATACAAATATCTTGAAGATCTCGAGCCTTAGTAGTCACAATACAAAATATAATTTAGGTGACTCCATTAATTAATTTAACACGGCGCTGTGCGGTTTCAGCAGCTATCTATTGAAGTAGAAGTACAGAATTATTTGCATTCTACTTGTATTCGCCTGATATTTTGTTTTAATTAATTATTTATACAATGAAAGCTCTAGTTTACTGATATGTTTGTTTGTATAACTTTTACAATTATTATTAAGAATAACCCTAAAACATATACAAATGTTATCATCATCATCATCATCATCATCATATTCAGCCTGCTTTCGTCCACTGCTGGACTCTCCTATGGCACGCCACTGAGCTCGATCTTCAGCTCTATAAATGTTATATGTTTAGAAAAATATTTGGTAAATCGTACTTTTTACTTTCACTTGTTATGTGTTCAAATACCGCAAAATAAATTATACAATTTCTCATCAAAAAATTGTAATAAAGAAAAAAATAACACTATGATTGTCTGATGTCTATACATCTATGGCTTTTGAGTAATTGTTGCGTCGGTAAGGAGTAGCCTATCTCTAATTAAAATGTCAAATCTGTGAAGCTGTAAGCGTAAAGAAGAAAAAGAACACATACACTCAATCTCTTACTTCGTATTTATAATATTAGCTATCAAATGGGCCTCAAACCCACCGCTGACATAAAAGGTTAAGTTTCATAAAAATTGTTTTAATAATATATTTTTTTCAGGTATCGAGCAACTGTCCAGATATGTACCGCAATATGCACTATACAGGTACACTAGAGAATTTAATAAAACCTCTATCATTTATTATCAAAAAAGCATGTCCTAAATATCAAATATGCAACTGGAATGTTTAGTTTTTAATCAAAAAAATTATCGCACAGATATTTTAATAAGTACAGATTAAAAATAATGATCTATTGTATTTGTTATCTATGTATGTCTTAAAAGGTTTTATCTTTCAGCACGTTATTCCCGCAAAGCACGTTCGAAAAAAAGTATTGCATGCAAACGAAAGGCTGTATCAAAGAAAGCATGTCACAAAAATAGGTGAAAGCATGCTACAATATTTTCGGTGAACGTGTACCTGTTTGTTACAATACCTATTAGATTCTATTTTTTATAAGGAGCGCTATAATATATCCTACAGCTTAACCTGAGATTGCTTGTGAGATATGTATATGTATTACGAGTATAAGATTTTTACCTAGTTCGAATGAGAATCGACATCGAAAAATTTGCAAACGAATAGAATTATTAAAGCCTTATCTTTATTAAATATCCGGTCAAAAAATAAGTTTAAAATATACATACAACAGGTATGTCCACAATCGCCTGTGGTACTCCAGTATAATGTCGATTAGTGAAAGGATTGTTAGTCGGTTCTCATTTCCATAGATTATTCTCTTCATATAAAGATTCAAATAGTTAAAAACAAATATTATATAAGATATATGTATAATGTATATATCTGTGCTGCCTTTTCGCTTTAGATGTGCTATCGTAATAAATTGTAGATACTCGTATTAGTTAAATAGACTGTTCATAAAATATATAAATGCAAGTTATTATATTTATTCATTTTCCATTTATTTATATATTTTTGTTATTTTACTATAATAATTGTACGCACTGCATGATAGGTATATGTTTATGATAATCTACGAATAAATAATAAGATGATAATATACTTTACTTGTGTGACTTTAGCTTTACAATTGCTATATGGGACGACTGTTGATTGAATGAACTGTTGGTTTGTATAAGAACTTTGAACCTTCATTGTCACTGATAATATTATTTTGATGCACAACGGGATATTTTCCATTCCATTCGGCACTGTTACAAGCGCCATGTATACTGATGACTTTGTGGGTAGATTTAAAACTTTTTATTGGCAGACATATCTGTTTACCCTTTTTCTAATTCATTTTGGACATTCGTTACCACTTTTTTTATGTTTGGAAATGCATTTACACATACTGCCTGTAGAGTGTACCTATACGGGTAGTTATGTGGGCTCACCGGCTAGAAAAGCCAGTACTACACACTAAAACCCAACAAACCTTCCCCATCTTATTGGGGCGTCCCAGGATCACTCACGCACTCAACCACGACGCCCCGACGGCAGGAAAAAAACAGACCACAAGAACCATGGGGTTGCTCCAACAGTCCATTCTGCTATCAGAGAAGTACCAGGAGCAACCCACATGGTACACCACCCACATCCCGTTTTACATCACAATTATATAGTATAAGAAGTCTAGTTTATTCTACTTTCAATTACCCCTGTATATATATATAAAAGAGAGAGAAAGCGTAAAAATACTCATATACGAGTAGCATAGATACTTTCCACAGCAATGTGTTAAATTTCGCATACAATATTTTCCTACTATTAATTAATCTAGCCGCCGATACAGTAATCCTTTGTTTTGTTTAATTTAATGAACAATTATATAGGCTTACTTTAATATTACTTGTCAGCTTTGCTTTTTGAACAAAATTGTCGCGCCTGACAAAATATAATTACACGTCGAAAATATACACTGGTCATTTAGAAATTGTTTTAAAATATTAGTATTTGCTTTAGTATTTAGTTATTATAATTTTTATAGACTTAATTAAATAAACGGATAACTTTTATCTTAAAATAAAATTTTATTTTACAGCAACTCAGTGGCCAAGAGAACACAGTATGCGGTACAGAAGCACTGAAGACCTAGCGATGCTCTCTCTAAACTAACGCTTGATGTTCAAATAGAAAGTTACCCTGTTCTAACTAAATAACAAATGCTTCAAGCTTATTGTACAAGAATAAGTGGTCAACTTCAACGTTCTAACTTAAACTGTATTTCTAAACGTTTTAATAACAAACGACATTTATATTTTGTTTATAAATTAATTTGTTTATAATATGTTATATTATATGGAACGGAAGAACCGTTGAGTATTATAGAGTTTGCTGGTTCGATTCTGGGTCTTGGTATTTTTTAAATAAAATCATAATATTACGGAACAATTAGGTACATATATTTTTTACATGCTCAATGAAGGAAAATGTAACTGCGCTCTAATTACCTATTACGAAATAAAAAAATATTATTTAATATTATACTCTTAATTAAATAATTTAACATTAATTAACGTATTAGAAGAATTAATTTATGTTATTAAAACAAAAATATTTGTAGCTCTATACATTTTTGATGCCTGTTATAACCTATAGATTGCTTTCGAGTAGATATAAAAGGTCAATTGTCTAGACAATATCTTTCTAATTAAATGTGTATAGTACCTAATTTTCATTTTCCATTCATTTAATATTTCAAATTAAGCTTAAAAAAATAAAATTTTGCTTAATATGTAATATAATCAATAGTTTAATGTTACCATAAAAATGTATATAGGTGTAAAATATAGATTAAATAGAAAAATAATATCGTGATTCGTCCACTTGGAATGTATTTATCGCATCATAGCTGTTAAATTAATCTTACAATTTAAAAAAAAAGCTTTGAAATTAAGCTAGTATTAGGTGTTAAAAGTTTCTTAAGCCCATAGTTCTAATAGTATACGTAAATTAAATATATACATATAAAATAGTATGTAGTTTCACAATGTTTATATTCGGTCAATTGATTAAGCAATTATAATTAAAATAGGCACGAAAGTATACAAGAAGCTTATGAATATACGACATTATAATAAATTACTATTTATTTCAAAACTCCGGTGAAAAATGGGAATTTTATGGCATTATTTGTAAAGTTTATAAATAAAAAGCTTTGATCGTATACATAATATGTACATTAGTGAATGTACTAACTGTAATGTACTTACGGAATTTCATGTTATAGTAAATAGACGTTGTTTTATCACCATGTAAAACGTTGTGAAAATAAAATATTTATCAGACTTGGATTTTTATTTATTTCCTTATACAGGACGGTCGGAACGTTGATGTCCAAAAATAAAATTTAGGTCCCTCGTATCGTATAGTATCCGAATCACCCCCATGTATATTATTATGTGACTTTACACAGTTTATGAGTTATGCATTTTTTTCTGAATTTTTGAGGATTTTCGACCAGACCAACTTAAAAAATTTGTAAAAAAAATAGAAGACCTTGTCGAGATTTGTTTTTTGAAATTGAATCTTCATAAGTAGTGCTTTTATGAATGAAATAATCAGCTTCGTTACTATGATGAAAGTTATGAAAAAGTTGGTCTTAAGTGAAAAATTTACTTTCGGTCAGTTATGACTTAAATTTTCAACTTTAAATTAAAATCTAAACAGGTGACTTCATGGTTCCTAAGTAGACTTAAAAATGCGCCAGACTCTCAGCTTTTACAATTTTAAAAAAAAGTAGTATTTAATATTAGTACTTTGGTTAAAATCGGCCTTCAAAGACAGCGAGGCGGAAAATTCTTAAAATTAGCCATCTAATTAAAAATAAATTTTTTGGTCATTTATATTTATACTAGTATAATAAAAGAAAGGACGAGGAAAATTTGGAAAAAAAAATTCTCACTACTGGGAATACTGAGTAATTTAGGTAGACATACATACATACATATATACCGTATGTACGAGAATGTCACTTTGTAACGTATTCAAACAGCTATCCAAGTCAAGAAAATGACTCAAACTTAAAAATCTTTAATGCTAGGAAACAAAATCAATAAATCTAAATATAGTAAGTGGTGGTAGTAATATAGAAATACGGAATATGAGTGTGATTTAAATAAAGGTAAAATATATTTTTATAAGCTTCATTGCTTTTTTAAGCCTATATCAATATTTTTAATGTAATTTCTTTTTTATTAAGAAAATAATAATTAAAAAGTGCAAATATAGATGGGAAATTCAAAGTAGTTTAAAACTGAATATGACGTCATAGTATTATCATAACAGAGCGATTAGCAATTTTATCGCTACAAACTAAAGTCGTCATTTTTCTATGCATGATACTTTGACGTCACGCCAAGTGTGCGAAATGGCGGGTATTAAAAAGTATCCGTATATATATTTTTTATTTAATATACATTTTTTAGAGCTAAATATATATTTATGATAGATAGATAATTTTTTACAATTATATAACGATGTTAGCTAATGTACAAAAAATTAAAAAAACACATCACGTATATTCCCTATTGTATTAAAAAACAAATCTACATTATAATTTATAAAATAGATAAGGTTTCTACTAAAAACTACCTACATCTTTTACTTTTTATAACCTATAATAATTTTACCAATTCACTTACAGTTCCTTCGTGATATTGCACTATATTTTATTGTTATTTGTGTATCTGTAGTAATAATTCATACAATGTACGCGTTGGAAGGCTCAGCCGGATGCTTTAGGCCATGGTATACGGTTTCCTTCGGAACTACGCTTCACACTACGGCGTAGATACGCTAGAATCTACGACGCAGTTGTGTCTTAATACACTTCGAATGATAATAAATTTATCATAATGCATACCTATTGATAACAATATTTTTTTTATATTGAAAAAGCTATATAACCTTTTTTTATTTTTTTATTTATTTTAAGGAAACAAACAGTACAATATTACATAAATAATAAATAATAATAGAACACATACACCAATCAAGTAACCACATATTAAAAATACAAATAAGAAACAGAACACAATGAAAATTAAAAAAAAACAAAAAGAAACAATGATTAGCATTAATAATAAAAAAAATAAGGAAACACATTAAATACATAAAACACAAAATTATCAATTAAAAAATAAGTGATTAACACCATTTTTAAAACCTGTATGTGAATTCGAAAATATATCTATACTTATAATTTTTTATTATACTCATTACATGAATGAAGTATAATAATATTTCGAGCATTTCTTTTAAAGATTTTTATTTTTTATTTCATTCTAGTACAGGACAAGTCAAAAAGAGAAACATAGGTACGCTTACTTTCACTGGCATGTTTTATAAGGCAATGGCGTCATATGCTATATTTTAATTACTTCTTAAGTATAAAAGAGGTCATCAGTAAAAAAAAAACAAAAAATCCAGTTAATAAGTAGCCCTTAAATTGTTGAGTTTGATTGAATTAAAGTTTATTTTCTTCTTTTTAGAGCATTCAAATAAAAGCTTGTTTTTAAAAATGGCTTTTTCCTTTTAATTTATTTTTAATTTCAGTTGTTTTAAAAATTTCAAGTTTAAAGGAAATTTTATAAAAGAATATTTTGTTTTACACTATTCAATCTAAGCATCTCAGCTGTTCGTTTTACTGCATATAATTGCATCAAAATGCAATATATGGTCTTAATTTCAATTTAATAAATTTTAAGTATTATATTAATATATTTACATTCGTTTTCCAATAAATAACAAAAATAATTCAAATTATACTTATACACATAGGTTACATATTTTCCAAAAAATCTACAATTATGTTTTATTTTCGAAGCACTCTCTCTGCGACTTAGGTGATGTTTTTAATAGTAAGCGGGAGCATATTCAAGGCTTTCAGTAATTAAAACAAAACATCTAACATCATCACATTCATACAAAATATATTCACCCCATTGAACTATGGTAATAATTTGTGAAAAAAATATATTTTTAACTAAGATTTTTAACGAAGATTAATCAACACAATTATCGTATGAAATATATGTACATTGTACAGTGTACACGATAAAAATATACTCCAGAATTGAGTACCTCTTCCTTAGTAAAGTCGGTAAAGTATTTACTATTTTATATTTAGGTTTAATATGTAATAATTAATAGATGATATTATGCAAAACATGTTGATGTAACAGGATGAGATGTACATACATAACAAGGACATATGTATATAGTTATCGGCTTCCGTCTGCACTTCACCTTACGATAAGGTAATATCGCACAATAAATTAAGGTTTAAAAAACTAAAAAACACACTTTAATATGAACCGAACTAAAAAGTAAAAAATAATTTTTAGTATAAGATAATGTTTAGTATAAAGCTATTAACGAGAAAATTGTATGTTATTGAGAAAATCGTGGGGTGCTTTGTACTCGTACAATATTTTTATACTAACTCTACTTTTAGAAATCGTACCAATAGAATACTTATAGCAGCTGATATCGAGCACCCCACGTTTTTTGTAGTAATTAATTGTATGATACATACATATTCATGTATCATGGTCATTTATTTATAATATGTATGTATTTGAAATTATATATGTGTAGTGTATCAACTATCTGGTATCCATAACACAAGCCTCGTAGCTTACCATGGAACTAGATGGTTCTGTGTGTTAATGTCCCAACATATTTATTTATTTATTTATTGGTCATGCGGACATACGTTTATTTCTGTCAGTATGCGTCTTAAGGATAAAAAAATTGTATTATTTAAGTCTATGCCTCCGTACTACCAAATTTTAGTGCGTTTAAAAAGTCATGGAACTAAACCTTCAATTTACATTTACTACGTTGCAAGTTATATTTAACCCCCATACATTCATCTCGTTCATAAATGAAACCCGCAATCCTTTGTTAAAAAGATAGCTCATGCACCATAGCTTTTCATAGATCATGGTCACAAGTTCGATTATCTAACCTCTTTAAATAAGCAACCCACATAAAAGCCTACACATAAAAGTTGTTAAAATATATTGTTTACAACAAACCAATGTATAGCAATAAATAAATAAATATGTCAGGACATTAACACACAACACCACCTAGTTCCATGGTAA